TTAGATTTATGTTTTCTTGGGCAGAGGAGGACGCCCATCAAAGGGTGTCACAAATAACTTCAAAAGTCCTGCAATTGATCAGAACAATTACAGGTGGGAAGTGTGCTCCCTAAATCTAATGCAGAGATTAGGGGACAGACAGATGTCCCCTAATCTCTGAATCTAACTGAAATCTTGTTTCAGTGGGCCAATAAAAACTATAATCATCCAGCTTAAGAACAGCCGCAGAGTATTCCGACAACAGCGAATATTTGGAGGAATGTGACTGAGGAATAACGAGTGCTTTATCATTCAGATTTTGAATAGAGATGCTGGTACACTTCTGGAGAAAATTATTCAATATGTGTGAGGTGGATGAACGATCTATTCAAGCTGCAGAAGGGATATGTAATGGAGGGTGGTTACTGTCATTTTACTGTAAAGTACAAGTACAGTTATGTAGACCCAGCAGTGGGTGTTCACACCCAAAATGTGAAAAGAATATGGGGTGTAATATAAAAGTGCCAGGTGCCAAGTAGTGTAATATAAAATAATGGGATATGGCTTGGCATCACCTCAAATCATAACTTTTGTAAATTTAGAAGTACACAGAAAAAAGTGTTTTTGATGAATTATTCAGTTTCTGAAATATATGGCCTTGTCATAACGATTATTAAAAATATTAAGGAAAGAGCATGCAAGTATTATTGTTATTATTATAGATTGTGTCATTTTTTCATTCACTCTTCAGGAACTCGTAGAACTTAGACAAACAATCATAGATGTTTGCATAAAGCTTATTGGCGGCTATATTAAGATTTTTTATCTGGTCTTCTCATTGGTAGGAAAGATCAAGTCTATAGATAAATAATGATAATATTTTTACAACTGATAAGTTTTATTGTCTCCTTGAATCTGCAAATTTTCATTAAATCTCCTAAAAATGAGTGTTTAATGAAAAGTATTATTCTTTATTTTTTAAATTCTTCACAAAGATTGATCTAATTAATGCCCTCAAAAACTGCATGTATTGGTAGTTTGGCTTAGGATTTAAATCCCAGTGAATGGGCTAGTTTCATGGGCATTTTCGTGAATTTCCCTCTGTGTGATGTGTATCCGAACCAGTTGTCCTGTCATCTACAAAGCATCCTTCTTCTTAGGCAGACAACTCTCATGTGCTCTGCCATAATCAAATGGAATAAACCAAAAAACTATGATTAATGTAGATCTTTTTAAATATTTTATTTCAAGATGTTGCTCATAAGCACCATGCAATGACATTTCTTCCTTCAAATAAACAATCCATGATAAAGGCCTACCATTGATGTTATTCCCATCAATAGTGCATGCAACAATGTTATTCAAGGGTATATTTATAAAGTATATTCAAGGGTATCTTTGTAAAGTAAGATTTTATGGCACTAAATATTCATAATCCTGGGGTGTATTACTGGAAGTAACTTCTTTCTGTAGTTTTCATCAAAATATTAAACATTCTTGGTCTTCTCTTTTCGATGCTTTGTGGCAGGGTGTTCCAGCAGTAGGCCTCATTGATTCATTCAGTATTGATTTGCTGCATTATAAACTCACTGGAAGTAAGTTTATCTGCAACCAATAGCTACATGTGTATTTCTTCTTTTGAGACAAGGGTTACCATACACGATGCATAAAACCTATTTTAAGAGTGCCATGCTTATTTTCGCAAATTTAACTGCATTATATCCCACTCTCCCATACGAAACTAAGTTTGAGTGATAACACCCTGCCCTTATTAAACTGGTATTGCATATAATACCTATCTTCTTCAATGTGTCAAAACAAATATTTCCCAAATTTGTAGCTGTTAAGATATCTGATTGACTTGAATGCAAAAAGGTTTTGGTTTAAAAATTACTTTGATTGGGCAAGAGATATCTGCATCATGCACATTCCTCTCATGAATGGCGCAGTTTAGACTTATAGTTCTAAGACAGAGAGGTGAAGTTTCCAAATGAAATAAAAATAAGAAATTATAGTGAATTAAATTCAGAAGTTTGCTTTCATATTTTTTTATCTTATCTTTCTTATATATATATATGGAAATACTAGGCATGTTTATATTTTGTTTACAAAAGAATTGTTTTGTAAATATTTATATATATACACACATCTGTGTATGTGTGACTGTTTCAGTTTTCCTTGACCTTAATCATTGGACAAAGCTTTCTACTGTTTACCATGAAAGCTTTAATCCACCAGGTTGGACTATCTCTGTTCTAAATTGATGTGTACAGGTAGAAGTAGGGTACAATATTGGAATTTCACTACCGATTGTACAGGTATAGTCCTACCGCATAAGTGCAGATTTTCCTTCAATGGAGAATGCGTCTAGATGGTACTAGGGATCTTTAACTCTTCTCTACTCTTACCACAAGCTGCATGGGGAGAGTTGGCTCACCAGTATTCTAAGTGCCTGCATTCACATCCATGCCTTTCCAGTCCCAATGATCTGGTTGAAAGAATTAACAACATCTTTTGTATGGAGAAAGTAATAAGATTGCTGTTGATTCGAACAATTATATGAGATGCTTTTACATATATAGCTGTCTGAATATAGCTTCGAGTTAAAACAGGCATAAGGGAACAATAGTCATCAGTAGAAGCTTTTTTTAATGAAGTGAATTGAAAACTGTTTTGTATATAAGGGAAGTTGTATGATGTTGAGTTCATGGACATTACTGTTTTGTTGTTATTTTAAATGCCACAGAATGATTGACACAATTTTTTAGTGAATTAAATTGAGTGGTAATCGTAGTTTTGGGCCCTATTTAAGTTATACTGTATCTGTAATTATCTTGATTGTGTAACCAAAAAGATCCATTCCTTCGAACTTCTGCCAGAATGGTTGTTGGAAATTTGGCAAGTTTGTCTTAGTCTGTTTTCTCAGTCCGCAGTCACAAGTACTACTTATATATGTATATATATTGTAAGATTCCTGTGTTTTACAACAGGTAAGCGAATAATCGCTTAGTTCAGAGAGATAAAAACTTAAACGTACTAAGGGTTAATTACCCTTTATTATTCAAAATAAAGTTAACAGACAACTCCTTGGAGTTACAGTGAAGCCTCCACTTGGGCTTGAACTCAAGAATAATAATCAATAAAACTAATTTCATTAAAAAGATAGTTGAAGCTGTCAAGATTCTAACAGAGCTACATAAAGCTATCAAGGGTCTAAAGTATGGCCGAGTGTAATAACTTAGAGTGAGAGTAGCCTAAAAAGGTGAATGTGCGCTAGTCAGAATCTCTGGCTCTGTAACGAAGTCAGAAAACCTCACAGTTAAATACTTCTCATATGCATTCAAACAGGATTCTGAAAATTTGTTCTGGCCGAAAGTTGTAAGCTGAAATTCAGGAAATAGGAAAGTAACTTTTAACTAAAAATTAAAATAAACCTTACAATATATATATTTGTAATTCAGTGTGAATTGGTAATCTTTTTATGTTAATTTCTGTATTAGTGTTTAAAAATACTCGAAAATTTAAAATAAAATTTGAAATATCTGTATTTTCTATTATGCACTGATTTTTCATGTATTGCAGAATTATCAAGAATGTTAGTTATTTACATTTCTGTTATTGCTTTTTCTTGCCGTAATTTATGTTCCAAAATGTATTTCAAGCTATCATTCAGTTGTGAAAATATAAATTTATGGACATTTTTAATGTATAAAATAGATTTTTGGTATTTATAAATATTCTTATAGTTAATATTTTCAATATTCCAAATAGGCTGTAATTTTTCCAAGGTAAATGCCTATGCATTTGAATTTCATAGAAATGATTATTTTGTATTGGTATTGGCAGAAACTTATTTGTTATAACAAATTAGAAAAGTTATGTTATTTTTTAATTTTTTTAGCTTGAACCACTTGTGCAACATGTGAGCTATTTCCAGTTTGGCTTTTGTCAAGAAGCAGAGTAGGCCTTTAGTGTAAGCTCAGTGCTTTCACAAAACCTACAAAGGATCCTCACTTCACAAGCATTGTTTTCACTTTAGACCAAGTTCTTTTGATCTGCAATTAGATGATATGAAACCAGGCTAAAAATCTGGTTCTTGAAGAGGAATTCATATTGGGTGTTCTAAACCCACCATACCAAGTTTTCATGACTAATGTATTAGTTTTTGTGGCTGTTTATGTAGACATCATGTTGCCTGTTTTGAGGCCTTGGATTTAGTTTTGATTGGTAGTCAGCACTTTTAACTCGTATATATTGGATATATATTTCTTTATTTTAGGTGTAGCTGCATATAAATAAGCATAGCTTTATATACATTGTTATTGCATATAAATGTGATTTAGCAATATGCTGTCTTGTCTTCGTTTTACAGGATTTTATGAAGAATTAATTTTTATTTCTCTATACATTTTTTATAGAAAGTTTTTTAATGTCAATATTTTGTGACAGATTTTTAGCTATGTGGCTAAAAATGTGTATATGTATTTTTAAGTACTTTTCAAGTAATGTACTTTTGTTTCCTACATATGTACTTCGTTGTCATAACTGCTGAGTAGTAAAAAAGTGCATTGCCTCTTCATTAAAAAATGACATCAATTTATGAATATTGCTTAAATACCAACAGGAAAAATGATTTTTTTAATGCTTACTGAATCTTACTTTGTAAGCATGTTAGTGATTAAATGTATGTTTATGAAATACAACTTTGCATCAGCTTCTGATCTTTGTAAATACTGTAAGAAATGTTGCTTCTGTTAAAACGTATGTGTGAAAATACAAAAGTTAGATATTTATGTATACAATTTTTACTTATAATTTTAGCCACGTGTTCTGATTGAATAACTTAGATGTACTTTTCAGATATCACAAGTATTGTACATAAAGTTAATATGCTTATACATAAGGTGGAAGTAACATTGCCATTGATTATTTCTGAAATTTTTACTCGCATTTTGATAATGTATCCCCCCTGAAATTGCATTAAGTCTGTCTGTTTTTAAACTTGGTAATTTTTTTTTTAGGAATAAAGTTGGAGTTTAACCTGTAGTGCTTGATAAACAATTGCAAAAGGTAATAAACTGTGTATAAATCATTGATTAGTATTGGTTTTTGTTGAATTAATTTATTTACAATTTTGCATATTGTTTAGTTAGAGCTAAATAATGACAGTTAAATGAGACAGTTTTTGAGATAACTTGCTTTTGTAATGAGTGTTTATAATTTTGAAATTTAACCAATTATTGTTTGTTCATCATTGAAATTTTATTCTAATATTAATTTTTTTTAAAGGTTTAGTCTTCAAGCTTGATCTTCAGTTCGACTAATCTTGGAAAGTAATTTGTAAGTAGTATTCTTTGTTATCATATTTTCGTCTATTGTAATATGCAGTACTTCCCCAATGAACCGGTTTTGTGTTGACTGGATTTAGACAAAGTTTATTGCAGAATGATAGGAAAATTACTATCACAAACCAACACAATAAAACAAAATTTGTGTGGGAAATTGAAAAAAGAGAAGGAAATGCATGGAATAAAAGCAATAATAGCAGATTGTGTGACAGTGGTTTAGCCTTTTTTTTTTTTTGGTGCATAACAGTATGCAGTTTAATTGTGCATGATCTGGGATATATCAGCACAACCAAATTATCTATAAAAAGTAAATTGCTAAATAATAATAAATTCAGTGTACAGCTTTTAATCTTCTCTTTCCTCTTAATTTCTGTTGAAATATGAGAGTAATATAGGTAAAGACAATATTCTGTGTGTTCTTAGTTTGAATGCTAATTTGTGATACAAATGAACTGATTCTTTAAATTAAACTGCTTGAAAATACAACAAATTGTCAATATTATTTTTCTGTTTATTATGGATTATTCTTTCCTCCATCCATTTTAATGGCTGTTATATTAATTGCGATTTTGATTAGCTGTGGAATTCATTGGGATTACCTCTGTTAATCAGGAGTCTACTATATAATAAAGCAAAATCAGGATTCGTATGGTCCTTAAAAGTCCTTAGATTTTTTGGAATCGATTTTTGGTCCTTAAAAGTCCTTAATTTTGGCCAAAATCAGCAGAAGGTCCTTAATTTTAATCATCTGTAATTTCTGTCTGTTTTTACGACTGTCATTTTAAGTGTGAATTAACATTTTGGAGGAATATTTTTGGTGATTCACTGCCATATATATGTGGCTATTTTTTCAATGGGTTCATGAGTTATAATTTGTTTTTATTTCTAATATAAATGATGGGATACTCGAGTTTCTAAGCAAGAAGTGAAACATAAGCATTTCAAAATTCATAAAAAGAGCTCTTAAACAAGTTTTCGCTTTTGGGGATGTGAATTCTTTTATTAAACGGTTCTAAATTTGTTTCAACATTTTGGCGAAACATCCTAACATTGATAAATTTCATTAAAATAATGGTAATATATTGAAATTATATTAAAAAATCATTAACATAAAACTTTTTTTTCACTGTCATATTATAAAGTTTCATTTTGGCAACTTATACAATATTTTGAATCTGAATAATAAACAAGGTGTAATGCTATAAAGCAAAATTAGCTATGTAATTAATTAAAAAGTCTTGTTTTTAATTTTTTTCATAGTAGAGTTTTTCCCATGTAATTGTCTCAGAATGTGCATCAGTTTCTCTACAAAATTAATTTTATGCTTTTTCCCCTCTTTTTTTTTTTTCTTTTTTTTTTTTCCCAAAATATTTCTGGCTTTTGGCTGTTACAGAAATGGTAGAGATAATTTTTCTTTAGGATTTTAGACATTGCAGTTTGGAAAGTTTAGAAGGATTTGAAGGTAAAATTTATAGACCTACGATTCTAGAAGATTCGAGAAATATGTGACAAAATGAAAAATGTCTCCATGGTATCAACATGTAATGGATGTATTTTACAGAAAGTTTGCAATGAATTTCTTATTTTGGGAGAGCATCTGGAAGAACAATAAAAATATAATGCAGTCAAAAGTCTTTAATCCGGACTCGTCGGGACTTAGGCGATTTTGGATTATCGATTTTTCCGGATTATAGATCATCAGTTTAAATCTGGTAAGATGGCATGCAGAAATTATAAAATTAAAAATATGAAACCGTACTTTATAAAATAATGAGCATGATCTAAAGGTATCAAAACTTACAAAAAAAAGCTTAATATTTATTTGTTTACTTTGTTAAAAATTTCTTTTAACGCGCGCATGCGTAAAGCATACATTATGCATAGTCGAAATTAGAAAATTGCAACCAGAAAACTATTTGATTTGTATTCGTGATTTTTATAATGACGAGGAATTTGATTTAAAACATATCAAAGACAGAGTACATAGATGAAATACCACATTTAGTAAGGAATTATAAGCCGAATAAAATAAAAACATCAGCCCTGAAGATAACGACAGTGCTGACAGATGAACTTCCAGTTCATTGCACGCCACGACATCCCCTCCCCCCGCGCAGAGCAGCGTGAAATTGATAAACAGATTTCGGAACGGTTAGATAAACAAAGGATATGCCTTATCCATTTTTTGCAGCAATTCCACTTTTTTGTTTGATGGACATCGAAAATATACTTTCGCTTTCGTTGATCCTTTGGGAGCTCCAGAATTTCGGAAGCTTTCTATTTGACATAATCGAAAGTTCAAGCTTACTTTTATAAAATTGCTCTTACAGTCTGCAAAAAATAATAAATCGGATCCAATGTGAAGATTAAGGAACAACTCAATCATCAACATCTACTGAAATAGATAATTAGGTAATTTTAGCTTATATTGTCCGTTATACATTAAACGCGCACGCAAAAACGTATTCTGCACTTGCGCGCACACGTAAACACCTATGCGCATGCACGAAGTTTACTCTAACGGCGAATTTCATATTCTCACGCCGATCAAACGTTTGCCCCTTTGAATTTTTAGAAAATCTTATAATCTGAATAATTAATTTTGACCTTCCTAGATTTTGAATGAATTTTTTTTTTTTTTTTTTAATCTTTTTTCGATAATTTTGTTATTATAATATAAAAATCAAAATCCGAGATACATTGGTTGCGTTTAATAATTAATTTTAACAAATATTACATTGGACTATCAGGCAAAGAAGGTATATCTTTAACGAGAATTTTTCTTTGTAAAATTGGCTTTTGTTTATGTTAGCCGAGAAAAAAATTCGTGACTTATACATGCAATCATCAAAAGAATTTTGAGAACAGTTTTAAATGTTCATGAAGAATTAATTATACGTCAATTTCTTTCCATAGGTAGAAATTTCGTCTAAAACTATCGTTATATCCAAAAGTTGAAGTCTATTTCATTTTCAACGAATATTCTATTTGCACATAATATATTTTCCAATTTATTTTAGAAAGAGTAATCTTTCACGTTTTCAAAAGAATAAGGAAATATTGGGTGTTGATACCATGTAGTAAATTTGTTTTTTATATTTCTTCCAGTAATGAAAACGATTACCCTGCAATATTTTCAAAGCAAAATTAAGAAAACCGTTTACGCCAAATTTTGCATAAAGTATCTTCTCGTGTATATTTTTATTTAAAGTGTGGAATTTTCTCTTTGAAAATATCAAAAATCATGAAGAGCAAAATTAATTCATGAGAAATAACTTTGAAATGCAATAATTCCATTGTAATATGACATAGTGGATAAAAGTCCAATACAGTTTATTTATTCACAAATAATCCCCCTCATATGCGTAATTTATATACTGCCGATTGAGAAATATAGGTTAGTAAATTAAACCGGTTAATTCAATACTTTTCCTTTATCAATATTTTTACCTGCTCTTCAGTAAAGCGGTAAAGGTGGCTGAACACTTATAGCTCGCTTGGATTTGAATCCCGGATAAATAGTTGGATTCATGGTTTTTGTGTAACGTAAATGCAAGCCAGCTTCTCTTAGAAAGTCCTCCGCGAAGACATAACTCCCCTTATACAGGTAATCGTTGGGTGCTTTGATGTAATTCAGTAAGCGAACAAATTAATCCAATCAATACCGAAAAACGGGTTGATTACATGTGGAGTTTTCCACCAGGAATGTAAATGCGAGCAATTTTCTCTTAAAAAGGTTTACACGAAAGCATCCATTCCCTTAAGCAGATAGCGTTCGCGTGCTTTTCCGTAATCCAATCCTAATTTTCATACATTTAGTAGTAAGTTGACATACACCTTATTACAGACAAAATAACAACTTTTTTAAAGATATTTTTTTATCAACTTGTCTGAATTCTCTCTATCTCTTGAAGAGTATAAGAATTTCAGCAAATAAAACTGGCCAAAATTTTATAACATTTAACTGATGTTTTGATTCAGTTTAGAAGTAACGTGAGCTTTACTGATATTTAAATATTTTTTGGCAGATCTCATCCTAAAAGAGGGTGTAAAGATAAATTGATTTTATTTAATTTACAATCAATGAAAATCATTGAAAGCAATCACTGAATGAATGAAAATCAGAAAAACTATTATGCATACAATTGTCTCTTATTTATCTCCTGATAAATCAGACAAAATTGCCTGCATAATAGAAGCACTTTGAAAGAGGACAACTCACAGTTTTATGCATCACTAACCATGCGCTTATAAACGTTTGCTTCTGAATTTTCTTTTTTCCAGTTCCCCCCCCCCCCCGCAGACTAAATTATAACATTTCACATGTTTGACAAGTAGCCTTATCTTTTTGCACAATCACTTGTTTGATGCACATCGAAACGTGCTTTCGCTTTGTAGATCCTTTGGTAGCTCCAGAATCAGAAATTCTAATCGAAAGTTCAAGCTTACTTTTATAAAATTGCTCTAACAGTCTGCAAAAAATAATAAGGCGGATTTAATCAGAAGATTTAAGGAACAATGCAATATGCAACATTAACTGAAGTAGATAATCAGATAATTTTAGCTTAGCTTATACTGTCCGTTATACATTAAACGTGCATGCGTAAAGGTATTATGCATATGGGTTAACGCATTATGCGTTGACGCATGCGCATAAAGTTTGCAGCTTTGAGGTCTGGATTAAAGACTTTTGACTATATATTTCATATTGTTTCTGAATGTTCATATTACTAAAGAAATAAAATTAGCCGCTTTTTCTATATATTCTAAATGCATTTAATGTTTTTTTACAATAACAGAAATCTTAAATTCTAAAATGAGAAGGAAACATGTTGAAGAAACTGAATACATAAAGAAAATTATTGTTCAAAGATATGTGCAGTTATTAATATGTAAATTACCCATTTGTTTATTTCAGCCTTTTACTATAATTTCCCGTTACTATTTTTTCACATGATAGAGTTATTGAGCCAGATTAAATTAAAATTAAAT